GAATTGGATGACCTCCCCGTGCTACGTGGCACCGCGGCGCTGCGGCCGGCCTTAATATGGTAGGTCGTGGCGTGGGGCATTCGGCCACCGCGGTTGAGGCGCATTTCCCCCCACACACACTCCCACGGGTCGACGGGGCGAGCAGGGGAGGCACGGGACAGCATGAATAGCGGGGTCACAGGGGCTGTTGCGCATAGTCATGGAGGGTTGGGATAATTGCGCTTGAGCGCGCAGGCCCCATTGTTAGGGAGGGTAAGGGATTAAGTAGGATTTACGCCTTGCACGCGGCACACTGATTAGCATATCAACAGCACCCAGAACCGCCGTGCGCGTGCCAGAGGATCGCGAGCCCATTGTTTAGCGCAGCATCCCCTTGAAGGTAGGGAGGATAAATAGAGGGGCGCAGAGGGAAAATAGCTCCCTTCTCTCCAGGCCAGCGGACCAGCAGGACTTCCAGCCAGCGACCCGGACGTCCGTGCGACGCACCGAGGTACGCTGTTAGCGCAGAGAGCAGCGAACCTCCGCGGGCACCAAACAGTGAATAGGGAGGTGGGGTAACGTAAACGGAATAGGGGATGCAGGCGGGAGGGACCCCGGGGGCCAACGGCCCCCACAAATTGGTGTCGGAAGCGGTACGGACCCCCGCGTTACCTCACGCTAAAATAAGACTAATATTTACCGGCCGGGGGGCCCCTTCGTGGAAGGCATTCGCCCGCAATCTCTTAGGGGCCAAGGAAATTAATGGATGGACGGACGCGCAGGCAGTACGTCAACTTAATATGAATCTTGATGGGCGGGCAGCCGATTTTGTAGAAGCGTTACCCGCGAGCGCACAGACACAGCTAGAGGAGCTGATGCGCCGACTCGATCAGCGTTTTGGCACGCGTGACGAGGAGGAAGCAAAATCGGCCTTAGAGGCGCGCCGGCGCCAACCTGGCGAAGATCTACGTGATTACGCCGAGGATGTGTGCGAGTTAACAAAGATCGCACGCCCGGGGTACGCAGCTGATGTTATTGAGGAACTGGCCGCCGAGAAAATCCAGCGGTACCTGTCTCGCACGGCGTGGTGGCAGCCAGACATGAGCTGCCCACGTCTTCCCTTTAACACCCTTGTCGAGCGCGCACGTAAGTGTGAAAGAATTCACAGCGAACGCGCGCAGCTCCGGGGGCTGGGACGAGAGCGCGCCATTGCGAGCTTGCTCTCGGAAGACGAGGAGGAGGAACAGGAGCTCGCAAGGACGGTAAGGGGCCGGGAAAGAGAGCCTCCAGTGTCCCGCGAGACAACCCCGGGATGGGTTGCCGGTATACAAACGGGTATAAAGGATGTCTCCGGCCAGGTAACCCAGATAGACAACAAGGTAAACCAAGTAGGTGAGAGGGTAACCCAGGTACGCGAGGAAACGAATACAAATATGACCAAACTGCAATCCTCCGTTGAGACCATCCGATCCGAGATGGGGGAACTAGACTCCACGGTAGGAGGGCTAACTGGAAGGATAGCGCGACTAGAAGCAGAGTATGAGCAGCAGCGCACTGGGGGAGGAGGGAGTGGGCAGAGAGCCCACTACGGAGCCGCCACCCCTTCCCGGGCATGTTATATGTGCGATCGCCGAGGGCATCTAGTGAGGGACTGTCCTCAGGTCGCCCGAGCTAGACAAGAGCTAAGGTCAAACACTAAGGCCCCCCTAGAGAGGGGACCACCGGGGGGTGAAATCGACGTAGCCCCGACACAAACAAGGTGTGAGAATAATGGCGAGCGAGTGATCTCCACACAGGTTCCAGCAACAACGCCCACGGAAACGATGATTCCTGGCGACTGGCTGCGGGAGCTGGTGGCGGGGATCACGGGGGCCACGTCGCTGGTGGAAGGGGAGGTAAACGGAGTGCGTACCCGAATCCTGCTGGACACGGGGGCGGTGGCCTCGCTCGTGAGCGCAGCGCACTGCAGCGCGATCGGGGTCGACGTGCGTCACCTGCAGGCCCCGGACCGCGCGCTGCACACTGCGAGCGGAGCCGGAATGGGGCTGCTGGGGAGAGCCACCCTAGAGGTCCGCATAGGCAGCCAGGTGTGCACGCAGGAGTTCTACGTGTCGAGTGCGTTGTGTCACGAGTGTATCGCAGGCACCGACCTCCTAGAACGGTTGGGACTCAACGTGCAACCCCGCCAGCGATGCGCCACCATGGAGAGCAACGGCGAGCGGATACCGTTCCTGGGACGAGAACCAACCCGCCGCCGCTTTGCACCTGTGGCCGCTATCCTGGCGACGGCAGTCACCATCGGCCCGCTCACCGAGATGCTGGTGCCGGTGGCAACATCCCCCACCGACCCCGCGCTCCGACCATCAGGGGAGGTAATGCTAACTCCTCACCCGGAGTTGGCAAAACGGTATGGGGTTGTGGGATCCGCCACGTTGGTAAACGCAGATGGGGACCGATTGTTTATGCGGATGTTTAACCCCCACAATACCCCCGCGATACTGCGACGGCGCACCCCGATAGCCACAGTACACCCCCTGCACGCACGCCACTCTCACGACTCGGTGTTCGCACTCTGGGCTGAGGACCCCGGTCGTCCTGAGGGTGAGCAGGACCTGGCCTGGCGAGTCGGCCCGACTCCCCGAGCCGAGGTCGTTCCCCTGCTCGACGCGTTACATGTACCATGGGCGGACTTACCTAAGGGAGAGGCCGATCGGCTGCGCGAGTTACTGCGGGAGTATGCCGACGTGTTCAGCGAACACGACTCGGACGTGGGTCGGACCGACCTTGTTAAGCACCAAATTGACACCGGTGCAGCCCGACCCATCAAACTCCCTGCGTACCGAGTGGGCGCACCCGAACGCACCCAGATCAAGGAGGCGGTTGGGGACATGCTTCGCGATAACATAATTCAGCCCTCGGCGAGCCCCTGGTCAGCCCCAGTGGTACTAGTAACGAAAAAGGATGGGTCAACCCGGTTCTGCGTCGATTACCGTAAACTAAATGCAGTCACGCTCGGCGATGCCTTCCCCATACCCCGCATCGACGACACC